GAGGTGCTCGCTGCGCTGTCCGCCCGACTTCTAGGCCGGCCGCTATCCAGACCAAAGATGGACGGCGCGTTCGAGTCGGTAGAACCGGATCGCTCGGGGGTTGCTCTGAACTTGGGGCTGTTCCACAGCTGGCTCTGGGCCTGGCCGACCGAGCTGGCGTGGTGGTGGGAGTGCTCCACGATCTGGTCGTGGGCGCTGATGTTCTCCCGCCTGAGCAGATCTGCCTTCGCACCTGCCAGCATCATCGCGGAGCCCGGGGGAGGCGTGATCATCTCAAAGTATTCGGGGGAAAGCCACTCGCCCAGGAAGGCGTCGAGACGTAGTGTGGACCGCTTGATCTTCTTCTTGGAAGGCTCGGGCTTGTTCTCGCTCGCATCGGTGGAGAGGGGATCAACCTCCTCGGTTACAGAAGCCGGAAGGACGAAGGGAGAGGCGGAAGGATTCGTGCTGGGCGAAGGCATCGGGTATGAAGGCGTGTTCAGGGGAGGAGCCTGGGCCAGGCCGGCGCTGATGGCCACGGAGGTTTGGACGCATCGTAGGAACGGGGAGCTGTGGAGGACGACCTTGAACTTGCGTCGCTTCTTCGAGTCGGTCGAGCTGTCACGACCGTTCGGGGTCCTGTTCGAATCAGCCTCGGCCTGGCGCAAGATGCTGGCAATCCGGACGCCGAGGGCCTTGGACTGCTGCCAGCCGCCATAGGTCAGGGGAGGGTCGTAGGGAGTCGGGGATGTTAGGTGCCATCTCTTGTCAGCGCCGTCGAGACGTGCGCCGTGCCTGCAGAAGCGTCAGCGTCCGAAGAGACAAGCCAGGAACGAGGTCTACCAACCTGACAACGAAGATGTACGCCGGCGGGCGCCCCATATTGCTCGCAACGCGGGTGCGGATGGGAATGTCCACTCAAGCGGCGTTCGGGAGCAGACTTGGATCTAGGTGACGGCAAGAGGCGTGCGTGACACCTTTAGTGAGGAGGGAAAACAGACGGAGGATCAAATAATGGCAGCTGGGACTGCGGCTAGAGATACGTCGCACCAGTTAGGACCTCCAGGGGATCGGATGGCTTGCACGGGCGGAATAAGCTTCGGTCGGCGGCGGAAGCACGAAGCGCGAAGTAGCGAGGACGGACTATGTAAGTTGGGGATGCGGCGTCTGTGTTGGCGCAAAACGGCGAGCTGTTATAGTCGATACTATCGAAAATTCGTCGGACTTTGTTGAAGGAGAAGACAATGTCGGATTTGAGTGAGACGCAGAAAAAAGAGGCAACAACGGCGGCGGCAGACTTTGTCAAGAGGATTTCATAATCGACGAGTTTTGCGTCGGTCATCCGGTGTTTGCAGCCCCTCTCTCCGACCAGCTGGCACCGACTTCGCAAGCGCTAAAAGCGAGGACGGGAGTGTATCCGTAGGTAGGTATGGAGACCCGTTGGACCCAGAACAGAATGGAACGGGCAGGGCAGTTGGCAGAGTCAGGGTCGGTCAGCCGTCGGTGGAGGGATGGTGTCGTGGAGAATATTTCGGTAGCGCGCGGGTTTCCTCAGTCTGCAGATTGCAGAGACTAGCATAGCTTGCAGCGCGGGCTGGGCAGCTGGGAGTTATTATTGCGATCGGATACCAAGGCCCCAGGGCGCAAGCAGGGTCTGACAGGGCCAGGCGCAGTGCGGCGGCAGGCAGGCACAAGGAAACAAACGAGGCGAGCAGGGTTGTTGTTTTGTTGCCGTTTGGTCCGTGGATATGTATGTACGGATATAGATATGAGGGAAAGCCTCCAGAAGGGTTCTTTGTGCAGTTCCTCTCTCTGTGCTGCTGGCAGCTGCAGGGATGCTGGGACTGCTGCGCAGCGCGGGGCGGGGCTGTTTTCCTTTGTTTGCTTCCTCGTCCTCGTCGAGGTATGATGATGCAAGGACCGGGGATGCCAGACGGCACAGGTTTGGTTTGGTTTGCTTCGGTTCTGTTTGGCTTGGTGTGTGGTCCGGTCTGCTCGAGACGAGTCGACGCTCCACCACCACCGGGGCATAAGCCAGAGTCAAGGGTCGCACTCGATGGTCCAATGGTGGTGTGGTGTCGCCCAAGCTGGCATCGATTCCACAAGTGACAGGCTGGGAGCTCACTGGCAATGTGCGAAGGGGGGGCGAAGATCAATTGCCTCCGGTGTTGCTATTGCTGGAGCTTCCGTAGCTCTGGCTGCGGCCTGCGTCTCTATTCGCAGGAGGCAGCGCAATGGCGAGACAGGCACACGCAGGGTAAGGTAGCAAGGTCTTGCTTGGTGCTGCTACACTGGTACACCAGGCGCGTCAGCAGTTGGAGTCTTTGAGTCTTGGATGGCGGATGGCATTGGTCGGCACGTCGGTCCTGCTCGGGCGGGTTGCAGCGGGCTTTCTCTCTTTCCATTGTCTCTGGGGCAAGTTGTCACTTTTCCCCTCCCCTCTTCGCCAAAGTGGAGCCTGGCAGAGACACTGCAGAGAGCTCATTTTGCATTCTGTGCATGTGATTGTCCCCCCTCAATGCTAGCGCCAAACGTCATTACGGCACGTGGGGAGGCAGGAAAAAATTGACGCGACACTGACCAGAAATGCGAGGTGCAGACCTATGTGCTGTTAAGCTTAAGTAATCAGACTTTGGCGGGCCGGCAACCTACTCCTACCTAGGTACCTTACCTAACAAACTCCGCTAAAGCTTCGGACTGATTCCAGGCCAGGGCATCCAGCGATTCCTGCTGTCGTCTCACGGCACAAAACTCAGTTCAGTGCCACACCAAAATGAGCCCAATGGTATGGAAACTTTCCATCGCCCCATCAACAACGTTTTCTCTGCTCGGCGGGGTTCGTTCGGTTTTCATTGCAAGCCGCATTGGCAGCGGTATCCTGATGTTTGCTGCGATGACCTGCATCCGGCAACTGCAGACCATCAGGCCGCCCAGCATCACACGATCCTGACGCCGACTGTGAACGTGATCATCACCAGCTTGACACCCTGCCGGACGGATATGCGACGGCGGCTCGAGATCTCGGACTTGACTTCTCCGAGTCTGCTCCTCCAGACCCATCAACTCTTCCCGTTTCCAGCGGCCTAGGCCCAGCTTGTGTCCCAGGACCCCTCCACCCCTCTTTACCCGTCGGCCGCCGTCCCCACGTCCTCCACCCCAGATTCTCCTCCTCGCCTACTGTCCTGCATATTTAGCTGCACGCATTACGCTGAGGATTTCAATCGCAGTTGGAACTTTGGTTTCAAGACTCATTCAAGTGGCCGGTAAACAGTCAATTAAGCGGTCAATTTCTTGGAATTGAACAAAACATCCCAAGTGACTCTGGCCGATGACTCTCACCACCGAGACAGGTTAAGGGATCCTAGAATGCAATCGCAAACAATTGGCCCGTGCTGCAACTTCCCCTCCATCTTGAGGCTCGAAGCTCGCACTTAAAAGCCCCCCCCTCAATCCGTGCCAGTGTCAGCATGATCAATCACTCCGCATCTTACCTATTTAAGCCCCATCTGTTCCCCTCCTCCGTCATCTATCACTTCCCTCCTCTCGTCATAGTCAAGCCGCAAAAGGGCGTCACTTGACTTTTACGGGGATACTCGCAAGAGTATCGGGCACACACAGGGAAAGACAGACACTCAGATAGTCTAAAACCAAACCAAATCAATCCAAACAAACAAACAATCATAATGCCGGAACGCCCAGCGGACCAGCAGGCCGACGTCGCCCCGGCGGACGTCAAGGCCCGTCTGAAGGAGTCCTACGACGCCATCGCTCCGGCCTACAACAGCTGGACCGACCAGCAGTCCTCCCTCCGCCTCGAGTACCTCGAGAAGCTCATGGAGAAGCTGCTCGCCGCGAAACCCCTGGCCGGCCAGATGTCGCTCGTCCTGGAGCTCGGCTGCGGCTGCGGCCAGCCCGTCACCGACCGGCTGCTCACGACGCCCGACGTCTTCGTCACGGCCAACGACATCTCCAGCGTCCAGATCGAGATCGCTAAGGAGAACCTCGCCAAGCACGGCCGCGACCGCGTCACCTTCGTCGAGGGCGACATGATGGCGCTCGAGTTCTCCGAGAACTCGTTCGACGCCATCGTCGGCATGTACAGTGTCATCCACCTGCCCCGCGAGGAGCAGAGCGAGATGATTCGCCGGCTCGCCAGATGGCTCAAGCCCGGCGGCTTCCTACTCGTCAACTTTGCGTCCGAGAACATGCCCGGGGTCGTCATGGAGAAGTGGCTGCACGAGAAGGGATGGATGTACTGGAGCGGCTGGGGTACCGAGGCGACGCTCGAGAAGCTCAAGGAGACTGGGCTGGAAATCCTCATCAAGGATGTCATTGACGACGAGGTTGATGCCGAATTCCTCTGGGTTCTGGCCAAGAAATGAGCTGCCAGTCGCAATTTGGCTGATTTCTTCCGCTCAAGAGCAGCAAGTCTGCGGCAACTTCGGGGGTTGCTGTCTGATGATGATGGATATTCCATGCACCCAGCCGTCTGGTACATGCCGACGAGGGTGGATTTCGATTCAATCGTGGTACCTGCAGGTACCTCCAACTCAACATGTTTCTCATAGTTCTTAGCAGTGTCGGATTTCAACAATTCAAAAGTGTATCTTTTATGAAAATTGAAAGATTCAGAATACTACTTGTTCGTTGAAATGATCGGGATTTCTGATTGTACGCATCACCAAACCTATCGGTTGGATGCGAATGAGTAGGTACTCGAGGTAAGGTACCTACCCAACACCGATCTTGTTCAGTGGAGCACGCCAACCGACCCGCGATTTACAACGCCCCCCCCCCCCCCCCGGGGCCCTGGGACCGTGCTTCCACCCGCAACCAATGGGCTGACTAAGGCCGGGTACCTGGCGGTAGTGTTTGTCAGGATGTAGCTCCGCGGCACTCCCCCTTACCAACCCGTTCGCCTCCGTCAACAACTTCAATTTGACGCGGCCCCTCATCTCCCTTGATGCTCCGACTTCGATCCGTTGATTTCCCCTCAACACCTACCAGAAATCCGCGCCGACATGAAGCTCTCACGCCTCCTGCAATTGCCAGTCCTGCTGGCGGCCTCGACGCTCGCCCCGGCCGTCCTCGCCGAGCACACCAGCAACTGGGCTGTCCTAGTCTGCACCTCGCGCTTCTGGTTCAACTACCGCCACCTCGCAAACGTCCTCTCCATCTACCGCACCGTCAAGCGCCTCGGCATCCCCGACTCGCAGATCATCCTCATGCTGCCCGACGACATGGCCTGCAACCCGCGCAACGCCTTCCCGGGCACCGTCTACAGCAACTCAGACCGGGCCGTCGACCTGTACGGCGACAACATCGAGGTCGACTATCGCGGCTACGAGGTCACCGTCGAGAACTTCATCCGCCTGCTGACCGACCGCGTCGGCGACGAGATGCCGCGCAGCAAGCGCCTGCTGACGGACGACCGGAGCAACATCCTGGTGTACATGACGGGCCACGGCGGAAACGAGTTTTTGAAGTTCCAGGACGCCGAGGAGATTGGCGCCTTCGACTTGGCCGATGCGTTTGAGCAGATGTGGGAGAAGAAGAGGTAGGAACCTGAGCACCCTGGAAGAAGGTGCCACGAATGCTGACTGTTTAGATACCACGAGATCCTCTTCATGATCGACACATGCCAGGCCAACACAATGTACAGCAAGCTCTACTCCCCCAACATCATCGCGACCGGCTCCTCCGAGCTCGACCAGTCCTCCTACTCCCACCACGCCGACAACGACGTCGGCGTCGCCGTCATCGACCGCTACACCTACTACAACCTCGAGTTCCTCGAGTCGCAGGTCCAGGACCTCAGCTCCAAGAAGACGGTAGGCGAGCTCTTCGACAGCTACACCTACGAGAAGATCCACTCCAATGCCGGCGTGCGCTACGACCTCTTTCCCGGCGGCGCCGACGCCGCCCGCAGCCGCCGCATCACCGACTTCTTCGGCAACGTGCAGAACGTCGAGGTCGACGGCGCGAAGAACATGGTGCTGGACGAGGAGCTGCTGGAGCTCAGCCAGAAGATCGCCGCGCTGAAGAAGAGGGCCGAGGAGGCGGACGCCGCGGCGAGGAACGCGACGCTGGCGGAGAAGGCTGCGCGCGGCGAGGAGCAGAAGGCGAAGGCGCAAGCGAAGAGGGTGCAGATGGCGAAGCCGCTGACGAACGACAACTGGTGGGAGAAGAAGCTGGTCGGTGCTACGGCGTTGCTTGGATGCGCGATGCTGTGGGCTCTCGGGTCGTTCTTGGAGGCGCCCAAGACGTCGGAGGATGACGCTAAGAAGACAAGCGGCCAGAACGGCCATGCAGCGGTCAAGGCATAACTCACCGTTCTATTCTTCGTGTATTCTATATCTAAATCGACTTGATGAGTGCATCCATAGCAAGGCGTTGAAGGAATTGGGCAGGTAACAACAGCATGATATTGGATGTTTTTACCTTTTTTTCAATTCATATTTCCGTACACGTGAAAGATTTTTTCATTGTAAACTTACCTGCAGCTTGGTCTGAATTGATCTCGTTATGGGCAACTGCCGCAACATCGCCAAGGTGCTCGAAGCTGGTGGAGATTATCCGGTGTAATTCCGGGACGTGCCTCTACTTCGTGACTACTCACCGAGCCCCTCACCGAGATTCATGTTTCTCAAAACCTTTTGCCCCAGTGTTTAGCGAAATGCCTTCGAGACTGGCCGTTCCACCATAACACTCTGGGCTTCATGGATAGCCGCAGACACAAGATCTCATTCGAAAATGGATAAAAATAAGGTTTGTCTAATCATGTTCCTTCTGTAGAGTGTCATTGCTGCAACTGGCCGCTCCTTCTTTCCTGGGAATTACGTAGAGTCCGCCCGTTTGCTGGATTGAGAAGCTGTAAGAGAACTCGGTATGGGCACATTCACCATGCGATGCGCTTTCCTCGTAATAGGTCCATTTTATCTCTCTTAACATCTCGGTTCCATCCCAAGTTGGTTCTGAAGGAACAGCTGCTACCATTCTCTTGCGCCTTCCATCTCAACTCATTGCCATCGCATGTACGCTCATCAGCCTGCTCTCAGTGAGGGAAACACTCATCGTCGACTCTACAGCTTATCAGACGACACACTACTATCGTATACTAATGCCTCTGCATCCTAACCATGGATGACCTCGCCATCCTCGACGGCACCTACTACAAAAACTTGCCGCTAACAGGCCCCTCAAACCAGATTCCCCCTCTCAAGACTCTCACCCTCAAGTCTCGGCCTCTCGCAACCCACGCCATCGCCTTCTCCTGCGACGCCGAGCTCGCCGTAGCAGCAGACGACTCCGTCCACGTCTTCCTCCCCGAATACCCAACCCCCGAAGACCCATCCGCCCAAAAGCCCGCCGCCCCTCCACCCGAAGCCGTCGACGACAACCCCCAAGATGAGGCGTTCCCAGCAGCAGCCGCAGCAGCAGCAGCCGCCGCATCCCAAGACGCAGAGAACAAGTCCCGCCAGCAGTACTACACCTACATCCTCCGCATCCCCCTCTCCCGCAAACCCGACCCGCGCATGAACGCCGCCCTCTTCGCCGCCCAGTCCCTCGCCCCGCCCGCCTACGAGGACGACTACGCCAACCCGGGCGATGTCGACCCGGCCTCCGTCTTCGAGGGCGTCGGCTCCGGCACCGTCACCGGCTACGGCGCCTCCCTCAACCAGCTCGTCGCTCTCGAGTGGTCCCCTGCCGGCGTCGGCCGCAACCTGCGCCCCGTGCTCGCCGTCATGCTCACCAACGGCGCCCTGCTCGTCCTCGGCGAGGGCGGGGGTGCCGGTGCCGGTGGTGGTGCCGGTGGTGGGAACATCGACCTCGGCGCGCGCATGCGCAACTTCCGCGACTGGAGGATCCTCTGGGGCGCTGGCGCGAACCTGCCGCTCCCCGACGCCGGCAGCGAGGACGGCGCGTACCTGCCGAAAGACAAGATCCGCTCGTCCGCGTGGGCGCGGCGCGTTGACACGGGACGGGCCTTGTTGGCGTACGCGACGGACCAGGAAGAGGTCGTCGTGCTGAGCGTGCAGTATTACCTCCCCAACGAGAACGACGACGGCTCGGATGCCGGGGCGTATGTGTGGGAGGTGGAGGAGGTCGCGAGGTTCGACGGGCGGGGGCCGCATCCCACTCCGAGCGTGAGTTGCCGTCTGGGAATCATGCGCCACCCCATTGCTAATGTGTGTTTGTAGCTAACAGACCCGGACTACACCCCGTACTCCTCGGCGTTCTCGCTAAAGTGGTCGCCCTGGCTACTCTCCGACGACGCCCGCACGGCGGTGATATCCTACTGCGCGCGCAACTACGTCGGCTTCCGCCGTATAACGATCCCCCGCGCCTGGGCGCGCGGCGCCGGCGTCGAAGTGAGCGTGGAAGAGGCCGACGTCACGGGCATCTGCACGCACCTCGCCCCAGACGCGTTCGTGGAGTGGGAGGACGCCGTCTGGGATCACGACGGAGCTAAGGTCTGCCGCGGCGTGATCGCGAGCCCGTTCAAGGCACAGCCCTTCCAGGTCGCGCTCAACGGGCCCGAGCGGGCGGTCGAGGAGGGGCACAAGACGGAGGTGTGCGGGACGACGTACCCTGAGGACACGACGTCTTTGGACGCTACGAATCCTATTTCGAGTCCGTCTCCCCTTGCAGACTTTGTTGTTGCTGGGTACATGGTAGACTGACGAAGCGTGTGACAGGTCTCATCATCCATCCCCCCGAGATGACGAAACGCACCAAAGCGCCCTCCTACTCCCTCGTCCGGCTCTCCGCCACTAGCAGCAACGACAACTGGTTCCAGCAGAACGCCATCGACACCTTCTCCGACACGGTCCTTCCCAAGTGGGCGGAGACCATCTCCTCGACCGTCAAGCTCTCCGTGCCGGCGGCGATGCTCGGCCGCGGCAGCGGTGGGGCAGCAGGGGGCGACGCCGAGTCCGCCGCGTCGGACGATGACGACAGCGACGATGAGGACTTCGACCTGCCCGAGGACGCGGGCGAGCAGATCCGCCCGTACAGGGTGCGCGTGTGGGGGCTGACGGTATCGCCGGCGGGCGGGGTGACGGCTGTGCTGGTGTCGCAGCACAGCACGCAGCAGCCGGAGAAGTCTGTTAAAACCAGGGTGATGTTTGGCGGCAAGGTTTCTTCGTCAGGTGGTGGCGGCGGCGAGATGATGGATGTTGATGGGGATGAGGAGGGGCGGCCTGGGCCGTTTTGGGAGCGGCAGAGCACCGAGGCCAAGATGTGGGATTGGATGTATGGCGGCGGGCCTGCTGTTCCGGGGACGCTTGCGACAGAGACAGCGGGGGTTGCTGAGGATGCTGACGGGGATGTCTCGTTGAAGGCGAGGTTGAGGGAGGTTAAGGAGAAGCAGAGATGCGTGTTTTGCCAGATGTCGTTGAAGCAGATGGGCAAGGAGTCTGTTTGTGAGGGGGGACATATCTTTGGTAAGTTTGCCTGGGCTCTTATGGGTCTTGAGGGATGTATGCTGATGATGATAGCTACCTGCGCGGCCACTGGATTGGCGATCTTGGCGCCTGGGATCTCGAGGGCGTGTGCTGTTTGCGGACTCCGGTGTCTTGTGGCCAAGGAGGTTGTCAAGATCGCGCAGGAGCATCTCGGTCCTGAGGTTCGTGTTGAGACGTCGGAGGAAGTTTGTGGTGGGTGCGGGGGCAAGTTTGTGGTGTGACGAGGGTTATGCAAGGATGGACTTACGTGTTGTCCTCCCTACGGCTACGAGCAAAGGCTTTTTCAAAGACGATAATAGTGATCAAAGTCTCGAGTGTCAGAAGAAGTAGGGAATTGGTATTGACGTTGTACAGCAGGCTACAAGCACCGCACTCAAAACGCACGAAAGGAGATGCATTCAAGGAACTGAACGCGTTGCCTGCGAAGTTGATTGCTTTCTAAGCTGATTAATGAGTGTCTGATGTTTCCCAAATACTCCCGTGGCTGAATCTCAATGACAGTCTGGCCAGCCTTCCATATTGACATAGGAAATTCCCGCAAAACTACGTCCTCAGAAGTCCACCAAAGCCATTCACCACACCTCAACCACATGGATGCTTCCTAGCCTGGTTTCCGAGAAGCTCAAGCCAACGATTAAAACTGACGGAAGCTGCGACCGCGCTTGCCATTACCGTCATCATAGGCCGGCTCCTCCCGGCTATCTTCGTCGCCAAAGGGCGCGTTCTCGTCTCTGGGGAACTCAAGCGCGCGCGGCTCTTCGGAGCGTCTCTCGTTGGTCACATCTATATAGATATCCGGAGTGTCCGGAGTGCTTGGCGGGCCATGGGCAGAGCCGTCGCCGGGCTGTTCCACGGGATGGGGGATCTTGTCTGCGGTCTGTCCAACGGGGAAGGGGAGCTTGACGGTGCGCTGTTCCACAGACTGAGGGACATCATCGAAAGTTTGCCCAACGGGGTAGGGCAAGGTGAAGGTGTCCGGCTCGTTGGAACGCTTCTTCTTCACGGGGCTGATGGGGACCAGGCCGCCTTCCTCCCTGTAGCAGCCCAGCCTGCCGTTGTACTGCCAGATGCCCTGCGCTGAGAGGAGGTCAGTGACAAGGAAGGCCCGACTCAAGACCAAGAGAGCCCATGTGGTAGCAAGGACGACATTCGTCGGAAAGCGGAGGTGGGGGATACTTACATAGGTTGATCTTGCCGCGGTTGTCGTTATCCTTGCACTTGCATTCCATGATGACGTCTTCGTTATTCTTGCGGGACAGGATCTTGCAATCATCGCACCCTTTGCCATAATTGCCCCTGTTTTTGAGGTGGTCAATAAAGCGAACTCGAGGGGACATGGTGAGGGGAGAGTAAGGGTAGTGCTTACGCGTAGGAGAAGCCCATATTGCCGTCGGTGTTTGTGATGCAAGCGCTAAGATGCAGGTAGCTAAAGACCTTGTTGCCGTGGAGATCTTTGCATACAGCGCCCAGCATATGCGACAGTCTCGTGTCGGGCATATTGAGACCGCCGGTGTACTGCACTTTATCAGTCATTTCGAAGTTTTCGCAAGCCGTTTGGATGCAGTCAGATTCAATGGGGCAGTTTCCGGCAACAACCAGGGTGGCAGCCAGAGAGCTGAGCGCGGCGAGGGAAAGAACCTTCATTTTGGTGATGGTTTGGAACGATGGAGAGACTAGTATTTGCTTCCGGATTTTCTTGGGGACTCTGAATGGCTGAGAGTGGGGAAAGGCAGTTGAGACCGTGATAAGCGGGAGAATTTAAACACTTATTGTCGAGTATGGTAGACTCCGGAATACGTGGCGTGGCGGATGATTGGCCATTCGACGTAACGTTTGAAGCAGTAAGGAGTATACACAAA